TTTATTAATTTAGTTTGAAAAAAATGTATTTAGTTATAGAATATTGTACTGGGACGGATATTTTTCTTTATTTTAAAAGCATAATTTATTGTTAGCACTTTTGGTATCAGGGTTTATTAAATTATAATTAAGTTTAGTTATCTCGAATTCAAAAGGGTTACAATGATATTTATTTTACTGTGGAAAAAGTTTTTAAAATGTTATTATAGTAATGAAACGTTATTCGTTTTTGAGTATATCTGGTTTACTTTTTTTAACGCTAAATAGAATAATTTAAAATTGATTTTTGCGAATCTCAATACTCTGCAAAACATTGATTGAATTTCTACCATAATAATTTAGGACCAGACTTAGTAAAAATAGTTGCAATTGTTTTTATTCACTTTTTCTTTCTAGCGAAGCCGATGTGATTTTTCAAGAATGGTATTTTTTTTTTCATAAAATTGCCAATAAATGATAGACCCATAATATGGATATTCTTAGAATTAAAAACTCTTTCAAATAAGCGCATAATATACCGGGTGTTCCATAAGAAAAAATATAACTTTGTTGCGCCACCCTATATAGGAATTACCTACAATGCCAAAAATATTTTTGGACCATAGAAAAAATGAATGTCTATGGTCCAAAAAAACCGCATTTCGTTATCTTCTTTACTGTTAAAGTAATCGAAGAAATACGGAGCTCTGGCACACCCTGTACATAATTAATTATTTTTAAATTTTAACAGTTTAATAGTAAAATAGAAACAGTGACTACCACAGTGTTGAAACCTCATTACTGTCTTTATTTGACACGTGGAAATGCAACTTGCACCCCATTTCAACACGCAAACCTCGTAAAAGACTAATTTTAGCCCGAAAATTGGTCATAAATACAAATTTTCCGATCGATTTAATCACCAATTTTAACAAAAACTCACCTTCATTCTAATATATGGTATGTCACTTTTGGAATGAAACATTTAAACAGAACATTTAAAAGTCTAGTAAATGTGAAAAACCGCAATGCATATACCTCTCATAAATAATAAACAGATCTGATACCAAAGGTACAAAACGAAATACTGAAATATTTCTTTGTTTGCGAACAAATACATTAAAAGCACCAAGGGATTTCTTTAAAATGATATTAAATGAAATTTTACGGAGGAAATTGCTGAAAATACTCGCATAACGTGACAATTAAGTACCTAGTTTAATAAAATTTCGTATAATAACTAGATTTGTATTAGAGGAAATTGAACTTCTTTGTTAATCATAATTAAGACACGAAAAATTCGTAAAATATGCGCATATACAGGGTGCGCCAGAACTCGCGCATAAACCTTTGTGGAGTTTCAATAAACGATTTTATAAATTTTATTGAAAAAACCGTCAACAATTTTAAAAATTCAAATTCGGAAAATACAAAACAAAATATGCAAATATGTAATTTTAGTGTGTAGTTTTAAGAGCAGTGGAGTTATATTTAAAAGATTATTTTAATTAACTGCCTCCGAATTAATGGAGAAGAAGGAAGGAATCATAAAATAAAAATAAAAAAAAATAAAAATATCCTTTCTAGGAAAAAATGTAGGAAGTGTAGAAATTTTAAAATGATTGAAAACTTTGAAAATTATTTAAAAAATGGTTTGCTGAGTCATTCTGTACTTAATCTTAACTAAGTTCTGTTAAAATCGAAAGCTGAATATAATAAATTAAATACAGGGTGCGCCAGAACTCGCGCCCCAGAGAAGGTAAGATGCCAGGAACACGGAAAAAATGTTAAAAAAAAGTTTTCTATAAAAATTTCAAAGTTATGAGGGTTTAAATTTTGCACTTTGACTCTATTTGTTTCTGTTGGAAATATAATTTTCTAAGTTTTTTTGCTATAGGCTATTAAAAGAGGAAACAAGGAAGCTTTATCCCAAATTGTAACTCTGTTCAATGTTATTTGTGGCTTTTATTGGCAAAATTTTTGTCCCTTTACTAAAGAATTGTAAAAAAAACACCAGTATCATTAAATAGATATGGAAAAAGTCAAATGTCAAAAAATAAATGTCAAAATTTTTTAACAGAGAATTTTTTAAACATTTTTTTCATGTTCCTGGTATCTTACCTTACTCGAAAATTTTCTCTGGGACGCGAGTTCTGGCGCACCTGTATATACAAATATTTTCACAAAAATATGCATAAGATATTAAGAAATATGCTCCAATATATGTCAAATATACATCGATTTGGAAAACTTTTAACAATAAAAAATCAAAGTTGGGATAAATTTTTATCCTCGAGTACACTAAACTTTGTACTTTATTTAAATAAGTATTTATTTTTTAATAAAAATGTGATGTTTTATCAAGGATAAATAAGTTCTAAAAAAATATTTTTTTAATGGCAACCTATCAAAAACAAACATTTTTCTTATGAAGGTCATGATCTAAAGTATTACAACTATCTATTTTACAGCTCAAAAAAATATTTTTTTTAAATAAATTGCAATTTTGACAACAAAAATCGAATAACTCAAATTTTTGTTCTCAAAATAAGATATTTTTGTATATTATGTACTTTAATTTATATTATTATTTTTTGGAAACAAATAATTAAAAATCTAATTGGTATTGTTATTCCTGATTTCGTAAACAATTGTAGGAAGTGAATCTGCGTAGGTCAGTAGAAAAATTAGAATTAAATTTTTTGGGAGAAAATTACTTTTTTTTTGGCTTTGTTTTTGAATGAAAAATTACCAAAAAATTTGAGAATGTACCTTACTAATGCCCAGGTAAGAGTGAAAAAATTCAACAATTTTATTTAATTAGAAGTAGTGATTTTCTTTTTGGGCGTAATGGATACCCCACCCAGTATAAGACGAATTTACTAATTTTTTGAGTCTGGCTTACGAATTACCGATTGTAATTGTAAAATATTGTATTGTAATTGGATCATTTTTCTTAAACTGTCCTATTTTTAACTTGAACTGAAATTTTAATCGGAAAGTTGTGACTTGAAGAAAATATGCACAAATATGCAATATTTCCTAAAATATGCAAAATATGCATTTTTTTATTTGGCTTATTTTAATCAATGCATGGAAAACTTAAATTTTGTTGATATACCTCTTAATAACAAATATGCATTTTGCATACCGGGTGGGGCATCCGTTACGCCCAAAAAGAAAATCCCCACTTCTAATTAAATAAAATTGTTGAATTTTTTCACACTTACCTGGGCATTAGTAAGGTACATTCTCTAATTTTTTGGTAATTTTTCATTCACAAACAAAGCCAAAAAAAAAAAAAGTAATTTTCTCCCAAAAAATTTAATTCTAATTTTTATACTGACCTACGCAGATTCACTTCCTACAATTGTTTACAAAATCAGGAAAAAAAATACCAATTAGATTTTGAATTAAACGCAATTTTCCATCTTAACTTTGAAAATCATTTTTATTTATGACCTTCTACTTGTGCCATCGTAAATTTAGGTGACAATGGGGAACTGCAATTGGGGTAAGATTCCAAGGTTTACAACAAAAAGACACTTTAAATAATTGATAATAAATGATTGTTTTGTTGGCAAATTATACCATTTTGTCATAAATCACGGGTCGGGTTTGTGTTTAAATAAAAAAAAAGCGATTATTTGGCTAACGAAGTCAAAATTTGAAATTGTGATATCAAAGTTTGATGCGCTGACAGGTACAGATTTATTTAGTATAGGTAAATTAACAGAAAGTATTCATAAAACACACAAAACTGTTACAGACTCATTTATTATCCAAAAAAATTAGAAAAATTCTCAAATTATACCCTATCAATAATTACTTAGTTTTAATTAATTTGAAGTCGCGATTTATCAAGTGCGCGTAACCGATGCCCCACCCGGTATAATCCAAGCCTTAATCATAATCATGTTGATGTTCTAGATTATAATTTGTTTACCAAAAGACTAGAATATCGACAGCTTTACAAATTACATTCAATGTAATAACACTAATAATGATGATTATTATTGATTAGTTGATTACTCAAACGAGGCAAGAATTTTCGTGGTATAACAGGTGACTTCATAAAAAAATCAATCACAGTTTCGTAGTCACACACGCGCTTAAATTTTTGAAAAGTAAACACCCTTGACCTTGGCGCTCCATAAAACCACCCCCGACATTCATTTCTCGCTCAAGGTCATTACTAAAAACGAACTTTACCGATAAGCGTTTCCCCAAGCCTGGACCTTTGATTTTCGACATTTTCCGAGGTATGAGGACCAGCAGTTGCTCCCTGTCGGTGTCATTTTGCGGGTTCGGCACTTCGGGGCGCGTTAAAGGGATGGAAATATCGTTGAGATGAATATTTGTACTACCATTTCCGTAACTAATGTTGTTCGTGTTGTTCACTTGAACGAGTAAATTGCATGTTTGAGACGCGATTTGAAACAGGCCGTCTTGTAAATTCCGCTGTTTATGCGGACTTTTTGAGAAGTAGTCCCAAAAATGAGGCATTTTTTAATCACCCCGGTTGGAGGAACATTTGCGCGTGTTAAGCTGACTTGATCGAACTGATGGACCATCGATTATTCCGCTGGGTGTATGAATAACAGTTATCAGTTGACTTGCGCTGGGACGTCCCATGGGGTGGGTTCTCAAAATTATCCCATTTAAAATTGTTTAATTGGTTGCATAACCTATCGTATTTATTAATTCGTGTTCTCGCAATACCAATAACAACTAAATTACAATTACAAACACGAAAATATTTTAATCAATTTTCTCGACCAATTTATTAATTATTTAATAAAACAAAAATAATTAAATCGGTATTACAGATTTCTACTTCATCTGTCAAAATCATTGCATTACCTAACCGTTTTTATTCCTAATACCAATACAACAATTAAATTAAAATTGCAAACACGCACTTATTTTAATCAATTTTACCGACTAATTTATTAATTAATTTAAACAAAAATAATTAAATCGGTATTACAGATTTCTACTCATCTGTCAAAAGTCAACAACTTGTCAATTTTTTTGCATTTCAGAATCCCGGCTTCAAAAAACGCAATTTCGTGTGGGTTTCACCTATTCCACGTCTCGAAGTACTTAAACTATTTAAAAAAAAAACATGTTTTAAGTCACTGAATTCAAAATTCCACGTAAATTGTCCAAAAAAGATGAGGCATTTTCACACGATATTTTTTCTTGTAAGTATGTAATAAAGCTAATTTAATAAGTCAGTCAATATTCCAGATTCTGGTGTTCGAAATTAACATACATTTAACGAAGGAGACAAAAAATGCTGTTGTTGATAACGTTTACGACATGAAAGATTTTAAAAAATTAATCAGGACTAAAACAAACGTTTTAGTTTGTTACACGAATTCGTTAAAACAGGCGTCCCAAGTGATCAAAGTCTTTAGGGAAGCCGCTGATGTTATCAAGGGTCAAGGAACCATGCTTTTAATGGATTGCTCTGGGTACCATAATTATTGTTTAATTAACTCAAATAATATTTTTTTAATTAGGGAAGCGAAAAAAGTGTGTAAAAAACTGAAAGTCACCCCTGACCCTTACATTTTCAAGCATTATAAAAACGGTGAATTTAATCGAGACTATGACAGGAAATTCACTGTTAGTTCTATGGTGAACTTCATGAGGGACCCCACTGGGGACCTACCTTGGGAAGAAGACGCCTCTGCTAGTGATATTGTGCACATTCCAGATGCTGAGGTTGGTGTCACTGTCACAATTCACCCATTTTATTCACGCTATTCTAGACTTTGGCTAAATTTATTAGACAGGAGAGTAAGCCTTTATTGGTCATGTTTTATGCCCCTTGGTGTGGTTTTTGCAAAACTTTGAAGCCAGAATATGTGGCAGCAGCCAAAGAACTGAAAGGACACTCAGTCTTGGCCGCCATTGATGTAAATAAACCTGAAAACGCCGTCATTAGGACGTTGTACAACATCACGGGATTCCCCACACTTTTATATTACAAGTAAGTTGGAATTTTCAGGTGAATTCAACACATAAGTGTCCAGTGTTTTATTTTGTCGTTGTTCAGAGGATTGAGACGAATGCCAGGTATTTTTCTCAAAAGCTTGCTTAGTAGTGGGCTTTTTTTATTATTTGTTGTGATGGCGCCTGAAAATTAAAAAGTATTTAAAACGTTTCTTACATATTATTTCCCAATTTGATTCAACGTTTCTTAAACAATTCAATGTTTTTTCCGGGGAAAAACTGCCATTTTCACTTTTGGAAACGTCATTGTGTCAGGTGTACCAATCGTATAAAATAAAACTAAAGTGACATTTAGTGCCTTTTGAGCAATTTTTTAGTCTAGATTCATATAAATAAATATTTGAAACACCCTTACACCATTTGTGGTTTAATTTACTGTCTTTGAGTGAAGTTTCTTTGAAAAAAACTGCCATTTTGTATAAGTCGTCCATCAGGGGTACCAATCACTGAACTAAAATGACTTTTCAAGTCAAAATTTTTGATAATTGATAAAAGGGCACAGGCGTCTAGAGGCACCTAATTGTTTAACAGTCACGCTTTAGATACGTTTCGTAATGCAATGCGTTTTTGTTTTTGCTATTTAAAAAATAATGTCATACGTCAATTAGCACGTTCACCAACACTCTGACTCTAATTTCCCCAGAAACGGGGTTATGAAATTCCAATACGAAGGCGATAATAAGCGTCAAGCTATCATTAATTTCATGAAAAACCCTTCAAAACCGGTCAAAGTCAAAGAACAAGAATGGTCCGAAGTCGATAGTGAAGTCGTCCACTTGACTACAAGCAATTTCGATCCGGTTGTTAAAGAAGAAGCCTCACTTCTTGTAATGTTTTACGCCCCTTGGTGTGGTCATTGTAAGAAAATCAAGCCTGAATATGAAAAAGCCGCCGCTAAGCTCAAATCTGATGGGGTAAGTAGCGTGATTTTTGCCAACCTAACAAACTAAAAATCACTATACAGATCCCGGGGATGATGGCCGCCATTGATGCAACAAAAGAAGTGAGTATTGCGGATCGTTTCTCGGTTAAAGGTTACCCCACTATCAAATACTTCACATATGGGGAGCACAAATTCGATGTTAATTTACGAGAAGCGACGAAAATTGTGGAGTTTATGAAAAATCCCAAAGAGCCGCCGCCGCCGCCCCCACCAGAGAAACCCTGGTCGGAGGAGGAATCCAATGTTGTGCATTTGAACGAAGAGAATTTTAAAAGTTTTCTCAAGAAAAAACGACACGCACTTGTTATTTTCTACGCACCCTGTAAGTCAATACAAGTCAGTTTGTCCAACCTAAAAACGTGAAAATCCCTAGGGTGTGGCCATTGCAAGAAAGCTAAGCCTGAATTTACCAAAGCTGCTGAATATTTTAAGGATGATCCGAAAGTTGAGTTTGCAGCAGTTGATTGTACGACTTATCAGGGAGTTTGTTCGGCTCATGAAGTTAGCGGTTATCCAACTATCAAGTATTTCAGTTATTTGAATAAACTTGTTAAGCCATATAACTCAGGCCGGACAGTATGTTTTTGTTATTAATTGTTAAAAAGAGCACATTTAGTGTGTTTTCAGGCCGAAGATTTCATTGCGTTTATGTCAGATCCAGAAGGCAATGGTCCAAGTCAGAAAATTGTTTCACAATTGACAGATACAAATTTTGAACAAGAAATTGCATCCAAGTCGGCGGTGCTTGTATTGTTTTATGCACCATGTAAGTAGTTTTTTTTTGGTTGGTAATGGTGACATTCTATTAATTTTAAATAAAGGGTGCAAACAGTGCAAAGAAATAAAACCGGATTATCAGAAAGCCGCCAATGATTTGAAACAAGAGGGATTCAGTGCTCAATTAGCTTCAGTTGACTGCAGTTCGAATCCTATACTCACTGATAAGTACGACATAAACATATTTCCCACTTTCAAATTGTTCTTAAACGGTAAGTTTGCTGCCGACTTTACCGGCAAAAGTACGAAAGATGATATTAAAAGATTCGTGGTTGATGTAAAAACTCGTAAAAATAAAGAATTGTGAGATTTTTATCTGTTTAGTGTAATTTATATTTTGGAAATAAAAAAATCGGTTTAATTTTTTTCTATTTTTATTCGTCACAAAATATGTCTCAATACTTTATCTACATAGAAATTAATTACATGATAAGCTAGTGAAATAATATCAACACTTCTTACTACATGACACGTGTCGTAGACGACAAACAAAATAAATAAAAATGATAATTCAACAATTAGACGTTCCTGTAAAGAAAGAAAAAATATTTCGTGGTATAAATAAAACAAAAAAAAACATAAAAAAGCAAACAAATACTACAATAATACCGGTATGGCTTTGGCCTTGAAGTATGGACAAACACAGAAGCAAGATGTGATGATTTATACGTACACAATCCTCATTGTGTTGGTGAATCCAGATCCTTGTTTCCAGCCTGTGACGATGATGACTGGATCACCTTGTTTTATGAAACCCTTGGCTTTGCCGAATTCGATCGACGTGTTGACACGGGCCTCGACGTCCTTGAGCCAGTCGTCCAATCGCTCGGCTTAAATTAGAAATAAAAGTATTCAGAAAAAAATAAAAACTTAGAATAGTATATTATTCAACGAGTGAGAAAGTTGGTCATTTCCACGATACGAGTCGAAGACAAGTGGAGTAATTCATATGAGTGGAAATGACCATTTCTCAAGAGTTTAATACTACGCTTTTTGTAATCTTAAATAATGACTAATATTTTTTATATTTTTTTCTTTTCATTATTATTTAATTTTCTCCACACTTGAAGATTGAATAACTTTCCCAACTGAAAACGGTTAAGCAAAGTACGAATTCTTTAAAATGATTAGAAAAAACTCTTTCTAAACAGGATAATGAACCAAACTTTGAAATTACTAAAAATCTTAAAATGATAAAAAATTGAGAGAAATTGCGATTAGCATAAGAAAATTTAAAAAAAACGGGTAAGAGAGAGAGAGAGAAATGCGAAAAAACTTTTTAACCCGAAAAATGGTCATTTTCCTCAGCCAATGGACGAATCTCGGAGAAGAGCCCAAGAAAATTGTAAAAAAGCTACTGAAAGTCTGCAAAAACAGAGGAGGAAAAGTTAAAATTGATGCAAAACTTTGGATCACTTGAGAAAAATTGTGATTCCATTACAAAAATGAGGCAAAAACATCCGATTTAATAAACAGAACTGTGAATGAATCAACAAACTAAGAAAACAGAAGGAGAAAAAATGGTGAAAATATAAAAAAGCTGCGATCACTATAGATTTTTGTAAATTAAGTAAATTTAAGGCCAAATAATATTCAGTTACTGAAATTATTTATTGAAGAATCCATTTTTGTAAGAAATTTTTTGGTCATAATAAAGGGAAAATATTTTCTTAGGTCCTGTTCTCTCAAAGTTTATTGTTTTACTAGCAAAATATTTTTTTTAATATCCTCGAACAGCTCAATTTAATTTTTGTAAATGAGACATCTTCATTACACATACTATTATTTATAACATCAATAATTTTTAAATAACGACATTATCAGTATTTTTTTAAATGGCAACTAACATTTTTGTTTATTGTTTTTAGTAATATTTTCTTTTAAGAAGAAAGAAGAATCTAGCAGTTACTAAAAACAGTCAACAAAACTGTTGGTTGCTATTAAAAAAATAATGATGACATTATTCAAAATTACGGATACCTAAAAACCAGGATACCACACGATGTAAAAAAAAACGTCCCAAAAATGGCTATATTTACATAATGGTGAGCAAAACGGTAATAAAAAAAATATAAAGAGATAAAGGCAATGTAAAAATTTTATTGAAAACTATAATTAAAAAAATTTCAAACATTTAGCAATCTACGCCTCGTCTCATATTTTTGAAAATGCTGCGAATACGGTTAAAGATACAAGAAAAATATAAAAAAGAAAGTTGTAGAGAATGAAATTTCCAAGAAAAAAGTCTGCTAGATGATGCCTCTATATTCAATGGTTTAGGTCCTAAAGGCGTTCAAAGACGCTCAAGCGACGAAATCGGGTCATTTTTACCGGTGGTCAAGAAACAAAATTAATTTAAGCCTAAACGGTTGAAGATAGAAATATGGTCTCGCGGACTTTTTTGTGGGAAATTTAATTCTCTACAACTTTGTTCTCTACACTTTTTTTGTATCTTCAACCGTATTYGCAGCGTTCTCAAAAATATCGAAAACAGTATTAAAAATAAATTAAAACAATTATCAGTTCGCCGCCCAATATTTTTAAGAACACTGCGAATATGGTTAAAGATACAAAAAAAGTGTAAAAAACAAAATTGTAGTGAATAAAATTTGCTACAAAAAAGTCCACGACACCATATTTCTATCTTCAACGATTTAGGTTTAAATTGCTTTAAAGTGTCCCCCGGGCACTGAATCACCAGTAAAAATGCAATGAATCCGTCGCTTGAGCGGTTTTAAAAGTCTTTGAGGCCTAAACCATTAAAAATAGAGGTATGGTATCCCGGACTTTTTACTAGAAAATTTTATTTTCTACAACTTTCTTTCTTACATTTTTCTTGTATCTTTAACCGTATTCGCAGCATTTTGAAAAACATAAAGCGGAGCACAGATTTTAAATATTTTTTTTCTCATATTTCTTGTGAAAAATTTAATCGTTTATTTTTCACAGCTTATTAAGAATAGAAATCTCAACATTTCTGCATTTTTTTCCAAGCAATTAGTAAAGTGGTTGAATTTAAATTAATTAAGCTTTTATAAAAATAAAATCGAGCTGTTTAAGGATTTTTTTTGAAAAATGAACCAAAATAAAAATATGAATTTTGTGCATCACTTTTGGTTCACCCTGCTGAATACTTGTAATCCAACAATAAAAAGCTTATTACAAATACTATAGGAAAAGAAAAGAAATACRAAAAAGGTACGATTTCTGTGGATATAGAAATAAATAAAGATTGTGAAGGTTATTCCAAATAAAGTCCAAAAATGTGTTTTAAATGCGACGTTTCAATGGTTTATTTMATTTTCTTTCTATTTGTAGACCTGTTTTATCTGAAGAAAATGAATTGAAACCTCATATTTCAAACACACATTTTCAAACATTTAGCAATTTGCGCCTCGTCTCATATTTTTGAAAATACTGCGAATACGGTTAAAGATACAAGAAAAATATAAAAAAGAAAGTTGTAGAGAATGAAATTTCCAAGAAAAAAGTCTGC